TCGACCTCACAGAGATCTGCCTGCCTCTGCCTCCCGAGTGCTGGCGTTAAAGATGTGTGCCACTGCTGCAGCCAGCACCACCCAGTGACTAAGTTTTGTTGGTACATAAAGTATTATTTTAAAGACTCTTCCTGGTTCTATAATTTAATAATAACCTTATTAATCAGAAACTATACTTTCTCACTTTCAGGGGTGCTATGTTTGTATAATTTATTTATTCTTCTAAATTTCATTTTACATTCCAACCACAGTTCTCCCTCCCACTCTTACTTCTACCCCACCTCACTTCCTCCTCAACCCACCCCCACTTGACTGACTCCTTCTTAAAGGTAAGGCCTTCATTGAGGTGTCAACAAAGTCCAGCACAATAGGTTGGGGCAGGGCCAATGCCCTACCCATGCATTAAGGCTGAGCATGGCATCTCACCCTGAGGAATGGGCTCCAATAAGCTAGCTCATGTGCCAGGATTAAATCTTTGTCTTAATTTCTCCATCATGATCTTGACCTCTCTTGCTCATATATTCCCTCCTCCTTCTCTTCGCCTGGATTACCAGAGCTAGGCCTGGTGCTTGGTTGTTGTGCATCTCTGTGTCTGGTTCCATTGAGTAGTCATCAATCTGATTACAGGGGAAGGCCAAGCACCCTCTCCAATATTGTTAGGAGTCTTAGCTGGGATCCTTTTTGTGGATTCTTGGGAGTACCCTTGCACCAGGTTTCGCCTTAAGCCAATAGTGGCTCCCTCTATTAAGATATCTCTTTCCTTGCTCTTCCAGTGCACAGGGATGCTATTTTTAAGTAAAGCTTTGTACACATTGCTTAAAATACAAGATAAGTGATAAACAAAACATTGTCCTCTTAGTCAAAATACACACTTCCCTTCCAAACATCTTTACATTCCAAATGATAAAAAAAATTGTAATTAAGCAAGCTTCTGAAGTGATAGTATTCTTTTTTATATAACAGTCTTACAAATTTATTTCTAATCATTTTTCTTGTTTTATCTTTTTGTTTGATTCTTTGGCTGATTTTTCTTTCCTTTCCACAAAGATCTCAACAGCAATGGATACATTTGTGACTATGAACTTCATGAGCTTTTCAAGGAAGCCAATATGCCACTGCCGGGATATAAAGTGAGAGAAATTATTCAAAAGCTCATGCTGGATGGTGACAGAAACAAAGATGGGAAGATAAGTTTCAATGAATTTGTTTATGTAAGTATGGGAAAAATCTGTGATTATTGGAAGTCATTGTTGCTCCATTGTCTAGTGGGAATCTTAAAATGTAAACACTATTGTATTGAATAGTCAACTATATCATGTTGATACTCCAGTACCGAGTAATAGTGCTGTCATTCTGCTCACTAAATGTAATTCTTACAGACACCAGAATGCTTAACAAAGTATCAAGAAAAGGTACACTGACAGACACAAAGCTATAGCACAACGCTCACAGTGGGCAGAAACAGTCTCCTTTAGAGGCATCATTAAGGGCATCTTTCAAGGTACTTAATGCCGTCTTTGAAACATTCTTTCTCTCCCCCATAGAGCACAGAGTACTTCACAAGTTTAATGATATCATACAACTCAGTCTTAGAAGCTTTGTAAAATGAACTTTCTGTTTAGAAGATGTTTTCTAAGCTCTGTACTAGTAGTATTTAACTGTACCATTTTCTCCAGGGTGATCATCTTGATAATTAAAAGCTAGAAGCATATGCTTCAGTCTGTTGGAAGAGGCATTTACAATTTTTGTTTTCTTGTCTAGTGTCATCAATTATTCCGCAAGGTTCTTGGATGATTGCATAACTTCTCCTCTGTAAGCATTTAGCTCCGTGCCTGCAGCATGTGTGACAGGCATGTGGTTCTTTATCAAGATCTAACTATTGTAGCTGCCAGCAATTAGTCTAGCTTTTATTGACTTACAGATTTTCAGTCTAGATTTGTTAACAAATTCTTGCAAGATGACTTTTTTAAGAGCTGTTGCTTCTTCTTCTCCCTTAAGAGGGAGCTGGAGAGACAGCTCAGCAGAGAGCATTGGCTGAAAGTCCAGAAGTGCCAAGTTCAATTCCCAGCAACCACATGGCGGCTTGCAAATATCTATAAAGAGATCTGGTGCCCTCTTCTACTGTGCAAGCATACATGAAGGCAGAATGCTGTATACATAATAAACAAATAAATCTTAAAAAAAAAAGAACACCCTTAAGGAGATGGATAAATGGCTCAACAGTTACGAGCACTGGGTGTTTTTCCAGAGGACCTGGGTCTAACTCCCAGCACCAACATGGCTGCTCACACTGTTTGTAATTCCAGTTCCATAGCATCCAACGCCCCCTTCTGGCTTCTTCAGGCACTGCACATAAGTGGGGCACAGACATACATGTATTATAAACATAAAAATTAGTTTAAAAAAGAACACCCCAAGAGCAGACATGGTGGTGTTTACCTTTAATCACAGCAGAGACACGTAGACCTCTCTGAGTTCAAGACCAGCTTGGTCTACATAGCAAATTTGGGGCCACATGTGACTTTGAATTGAGACCCTGCCTCAAAAAAAGAAACATACATGTTTTTATTTTTGTTAGGGTTAGAGTTAGGGTTTGTTTTGTCTTTGTTTTTGAGTCAGACTAACTTTAAAGTAATGCCCATCCCGCCTTAGCCTACAGTGAGCAAAGGGAGAAAGGCATGTAGTACCATGCCTGGCCTACCCTAGTACTATGTCTTCATTTACATGGTTGTTTAGTTGTGTTTTGTGGAGCGGTCAAAATAGGGTTTCTCTGTAGCTCTGGAGCCTGTCCTGGAACTCGCTCTGTAGACAGACTCCCAGAGATCTGCCTGCCTCTGCCTCCCGAGTGCTGAGATTAAAGGCGTGTGCCACCACCGCCCAGCCATTTACTTGGTTTTCAAGACTGCCTTTGGCTATGTAGCCCAAACTGGCCTCCAATTTGTGATCCCTCCCACCTTAGCATCCCAGTGCTGGGATTACAGTAGCATAGCATCCTGACTGAGTGTTACTATTTTAAGCCTGGGTTTGACTAGATCTTATTAGGCATTCTTTTCAATATACTCCAAACTAATTATTAGTGCTTAATATTTGTCATCAAGATCCAATCCTCCTGTCCTTCTCTATATTTTATCTTGGCACCAAGATAGCTGCAATTAGAACATATGCTCTCATGAGTTACCATGACTCACTATGACAAGTGAATTTCAGATATGTTCCCTCTGATTAGAACTAACTCAAAGAACATACCAGAAGGACAGAAACAAATAAACCACTTAATCAACAGTCAGTGGTGGGGGAGGGGAGTTCGCTACTCTGTAAACTACAGGCTCATGTCATTATCATTAAAAGTTCTTGCCATTTCCTTTTGTAAACCTGATTTCCTCCCCTCATTTCTGTCTCCAGTTCTGGCCAAAGTCTTGCTTTGAATTCTGTGTTCAATAGTAAGTTACAAATGATTTTCAATAGTAAGTTACAAATGATTTGTGATTTGAGCACTTGCATGTCTCCTTGTGTAACTTGCATGTATCCCTGTGAATTTAAAACAGGCCAGAGCAGTAATGAACTATGGCCAGTTGCTTATGATACAACTTACAGCTGAGGATCTTTGTATCTACTAGAAAGAAGCAGCCTGAGCTATTAGGATTTGTAGTCCATCTGATAATTTTGAGGACAAAATTATAAATGTGTCTACAAAGAAAATGATCTTGAGAATACTTTCAATTTTGTATATTCTAAAACGCTGTGCTTTCCACACATCTTTTAGTGGCTTTTAAGCAATAAGGTGAAGTTTTCTTAATATGTTCTTTAAAAGTAGAAGCATAATACTTTAGGCAACATTATGGATTTTCTAGAACAAAATATCAAAGAGAGCATTTTAGGTCAAAGTAGTTTTAGAAGTATTTACACTGTTTTGTTTGAAACAGGGTTGGTCTCTGTAGCCCTGGCTGTCCTGGAACTGACTATGTTGACAAGGCTGACCTCAAACTCCCAGAGGTCTGCCTCCTTGTCCTCAAGTACTAGAGTTAAGAGTGTGACCTCTCTGCCCTCCTTTAACTTCAAACAAGAATTGATGGTTCCTGAAAAGACAATAAGTTGCCGGGCATTGTTGGCACACGCCTTTAATCCCAGCACTCAGGAGGCAGAGGCAGGCCGATCTCCGTGAGGTTGAGGCCAGCCTGGTCTACTGAGTGAGTTCCAGGATAGGCTCCAAAGCTACACAGAAAAACCCTGTCTCAAAAAACCAAAAAAAAAAAAAAAAAAAAGACAATAAGTTGACCAGCATTGTCCAGAGGACAGTAACCTTTTCCAATTAGTCCCTGCTAAGCAAGACACATGAACTGGGGCCTAGATAAATGGCTCAGCAACACTGCCTGCTCTTCTAGAGGTTCTAGGTTTGATTCCCAGCACCTACATGGCAACTCACAAAAATCTGTGACTCTAGTTCCAGGGGATCTGTTGCCCTCTTTGGGTCTCCAAGGATATCAAGCAGAAGTATGTGGTACACAGACATACATACAGCAAAACACCCCTACACATAAAATAGCAACAGTTTAAAATTTCACCTATGATAGTAAAGGAGAAAGTATCTGATACCTAAAGTATCAGAATGGTGCTGCCATGACTGCTAGAAGAAAAGGGGACACTGAAAGGACTGTCTTCTTTCATGTTCTTTGTCATTGATTTAACACCTTGCAAATTGTCAAAGAAAATTGGATTATGACTTCACTACCCAAGACTCAGAGACTGCAATTGTCGTCACCTATTAGCTTATGGAAAGAGAAAGAAATGGATTCTCACATGTTAGGTTTGAGGGTTTTATGTGAATTGGAGTCTAAAGGAGTATTCAGTATAAACTACGTGCAAACAAAATCAGTTTTTATTTCTTTTCAAGACTCTATCTATATAGGACCAAGGAGGTGCTGAATATTGTATACAAATTTCAAAGGCAGAACTATAATTAATTATTTGTTTTCATTTTAAGAATTATGAACTCCCATTAATGGTTTTGTTTGGTTGGTTTTTAGATTTTCAAGAAAGGGTTTCTCTGTCTTAACAGCCGTGGCTGTCCTGGAATTCACTCTGTAGACCAGGCTAACCTTGAACTCAGAGATCTGCCTGCCTCTGCTCTCCTCCCCAGTGTTGGGATTAAAGGCATGTGCCCCATGCTGTGCTATTAGATTTTTTAATGTTGATATTTTTCCTATATTTACTTTTCTTGTGCTATGGATTAAATCCTGGACCTTACACATGTTATGTAAATTCTGTACCATTGAGCTATATACCCAGAACTCTAGGTTTTTATACTTGCAAACTAACACAATTGTTGTTGTCAGTTGTGAAAGGCTGATGGGGCAATATATTTTTAAAAAGATAATTGTATTAATTTCTTGTTTTCACAATGAGAAACTTGATTTTATATAATGGTATTAAGTCTTTAATATCTTACTAATAAAATTACCCACAGGATTACTCATTTAAAAACTAGCAAAGTACTTAGAATGCTCCATAACTGGTAGTGGTTAAAATAATTATTTCTATGTTTATTAATTGATTCCTTTGAGACAGGGTCTCACCAAGTTACCCATCCTTGGCAAACCTCAAGGGCTCAATAATTCTCTTGTAGTCAACCTTTCTGACAAATGTAGGGCTCCAGGCCCCGTAGTTCTCTGATTTCCTCCATTTAAAATCGAAGTAGTAGTGTTCTTTTCCAACTTTAGGCCTGCAATAATTTCCATAAGACAGAAAAATACCAATATTCTATATTGGAAACAAGCAGCCAATATTTTCTACAATTCTCTCCAAAATCTTTCCTTCTTAAATCACATAACTCTGTGTTGTTTTGGGTTGGCTGCTATGCCTATGCAAGGCTCACTTTGGGGTCAAAGAAACTCGAGTGGTTGCTGAAGGTTTTGAAAGAAAGCTGCTGGTCAGCCAGTGGTGATGCACGCATTTAATTCCAGCAATTGGGAGGCAGAGGCAGGTGGATCTCTGTGAGTTCAAGAAACCCTGTCTCAGAAAAAAAGGAAGGAAAAGAAAGCCCCTGAAGCTTAGGAAAGAAAGAGCCAGCCACAGATGTCACCAAAGAAACTGAAAAGGATGTACAGGATGAGAATGGCCTTTGCCTTCTGAGCACAGTACCCAAGGAACTTGTCTGTGCCTGATAAAGCAAGTCCTTCCTCTCAGAGGGAAAAGATCATAATATTGTGAGCTCATTAGGATTACAATTTAGGCTTAAAAAGATTTGTTGAGAAGACTAATACAGTCTTGTGCTAGCTCTGATTTCTGCAGGTCCTATAAAATCAAAGCCTTTATTTAACCGTCTTTATCATCCAATCCAGCTATGTCTTTGCTGAAGTAGAAAGGAAAATGCAGGTTTTTCAGGTAGCAAACCAATCTGACATATAAACTTTCAATTCTCTTATTTGTTTTTTAGATTTTAATCTAAGAGACAGACTAAAATGTTATGGAATGAAATTTGAGGTTGGCTGAAAAAAATCTCTTTAGAAATATTTGGAAGGTAGGATTAGGAATATAGCTCTGTGGTAAACATGGACTTAGTTCTCAGCACCACAAAAAAAGACACTTAACAAATGTAACTAGACTTTGCACATTGTTCCCCAGCACCGTTTCCCTGACACATGAAAGAATATAGGCTATTTTACCCCGAAGATATTTTCATTTGAATTATTCCACTTTTCCATAATGTATATAAATTTGAATGTATCATTCAGTTAGAATCACGATCATTTCAACAACTTAATTTTTTTTAGAAGGCTACAGTGCTTGAAGCAAATGTAGTTACAACAAGCCAATCAGCTTTTCCTGTCTTGCTCTGCAGCTCTAACATGCTTTCGTCTTGCAGTGATGTGTGCTATGCCTGGTGTGAGGAAATGCACATCTGTCCACATTTTTTTTAACTAAATAGAGCAGGGTTCACAATGAGCAAGACTAACTTTACACTGAACAGGCACTTTGTTTTCTCTCTTCACTCTGTTTTGTTTTATTTGAGCCAGGGTCTCACTCTGTAAACCAGGCTAGCCTTGAACTCCTGGAAATCCTCCTGCCCTAATCTCCTGAGTACAGGGATTACAAATGTGAGCCACCATGCCCAACTATTTTTGTTTTTGGTTTTTTTAAGATTTTATTTATTATGTATACAACATCCTGCTTCCATGTATATCTGCACACCAGAAGAGGGCACCAGATCTCATAACAGATGGTTATGAGCCACCATGTGGTTTCTGGGAATTGAACTCAGGACCTCTGGAAGATCAGCCAGTGCTCTTGACCTCTGAGCTATCTCTCCAGCCCCTTGTTTTGGTTTTTGAGACAGGAGCTCATGCTCTCCTGGAGTTCTCTCTGTTTCCAGGCATGTCCAGAACTCACAAAACTCAAGTGTCTGTCACTATTTTTATTAGTTTATGGGTTTTTTTATTTTTCATGTGTAGGTGTATTTTATCTGCAGCTACGTATGTGCATTATGTGCATGCTTGGTGCCTGCAGAGGTTTTTGGTTTTTTGTTTTTCTTTCTTTTTGAAAAAAAAAAAGGAGTCTTATCCTCTAGAACTGGAGTTACAGATGATTGTGAGCCACCGTGTGGGTACAGGGAATTGAACCCAGATCCCCTGAAAAGGCAGCCAGTGCTCTTAACAGCTGAGTCATCTCTCCAACACCAGAAAATATGTATTTTTATTTTGTTGTGGTGTGTGTGTGTGTGTGTGTGTGTGTGTGTGTGAGCCTGTGCACATGTGGATACAGGCACCCACAGAGTCCAGAAGAAGGTATCAGACCCTCTGGAGATGCAGTTCCAGGCTCTTGTGAACCACCTGATGTGGTTCTGGAAAAGGAACTTGAGTCCTCTGGAAGAATACCAAATGCTCTTAACCATAGAACCATCATCTCTCCATCGCACAACAGATGTATTCTCAAAAGCAAAGGTTCAGCATCCCACTAACCTGGAAATTAGGTTTTACTACATACTCAGGGACCCATTCTGTTATAATCTCACTTACATGGCATGAATAATAAAATCCCAGCAACAGATATTGGGACTCAATCTGAAGATCAGAGAAGCAAAGTAGCCAAGCCACCAGAGAGCTCTTACCTCTACCAAGATTAGGGAGATCCTGTCCTCAATATGGCTGGAGACTAGTTGCCAGAATCCGAGACCCCTCTCTTGCCTTATATATTTATCTAGTGCTGGGGTTAAAGGCATGCACCACCACTGCCTGTCCTCTATGGCTGTAGCTAGCTTTGCATTCTGATATCCAGGCAAGCTTTATTAGATCATAAACTATATATCACCACACACATTTGTCCATCTTAAAATCTCCTGGGAAATTGTAGATATAGCATAAAATTTCAACTTTTGAGGAAACATCATCAAAAATAGAGAAAGTAGTTGGGCATAGAGGCACACACCTTTATTACCAGCACTCAGGAGGCAGAGGCAGGCAGATCTCTGAGTTCAAGGCCAGCCTGGTCTACAGAGTACATTCCAGCAAAGCCAGGGCTATACAGAAAATCCCTATTTTGAAAAACCATCCCCCCCAAAAAATAGAGGAAGCTTGATTTGCAAAGATGATTGCATAGTATTTCCCTAAATAAAATGTGTTTATAGAGCCAAAGAAATTTGAGATTTGAGAACGGTGATGGGATAATATGACTGTGATCATTACAAAAAGTTCCTTTCTTGCTGGGTTTGGTGGCACTTGCCTTTAATCTTAGCACTTGGGAGGCAGAGGCATTAATCAAACAAACAACCAAAAGTCCCTTTCTTTAAGTAGACTAATTACAAAGGGGCACCTTTCAGGAAGATTAATTCCGAAAATGTCTTGTCTGAAGCCTGGCTAGTATTGCATGCGTCAGATTGTTCCAGTCTGAACTTCTGCATATTGGGAACCTCAGCTAGAGGTGACCTCCCCCGGGGAAGAGAATGACAGTCAGTTACACTAAAAGCCTTTGACATGTGTTCTATTTTCTTCTGCCATTTTGTGTTATAGTGTTCCACTTAAAGGGAGATTCTAAAGGCACTTAGAGAAATTTCTGAGTCTGAGAGACGGCTCAGTGGGTAAAGTAAAGGCCTTAGCAAGCCTGCTGACCTGGATTTGATCTCTCAGAATGCCAGTAAAGGTGGAAGAGGAGAACTGATTCCTCAGAGCCATCCTGTGACTTCCAAGTGTGTATCCCTCCCGTTTAGAAAGTTGCCAGACTTGTCACTAGTTGATAGTGACTAATTTCGGCATGTACATTGGTAAACGGAAGAAAAATTTGGGGTGAGGCAAATTCCAGAGTTTCCGAAGTATAGAGACAGATTTTTAGAATGCTCATTCATTCACATTATTAAACTGGGATATGAAGCTTACATTCTTCTAACCTGATTTATGTACTTAGAACTTAAAAGTTCCCTTGTTATCCAGGTTCTGTGATGAAAAGAGCTGAATTCAAATGCCCAAATAGTCTTTTATATCTTCTTCTTCTTCTTCTTCTTCTTCTTCTTCTTCTTCTTCTCCTTCTTCTTCTCCTCCTCCTCCTCCTTCTCCTCCTCCTCTACCTCCTCCTTCTATAACCCTGGGATTATGTGTACAAACCAAGTTCTCTGCTACTGACCCATCATCACAGCTCTAATTTCACTTTTGTTTGTTTGTTTATTTTGGTTTGGCTTTTTTGAGACAGGGTTTCTCTGTGTAGCGCTGGCTGTCCTGGAACTCAGTCTGTAGACCAGGCTGGCCTCAAATTCACAGAGATCTGTCTGCCTCTGCCTCCCAAGTCCTGGAATTAAAGGTGTGCATGACCACTGCCAGGCTAAGTTCACATTTTGCGTTATTTTTATTTTTAGACATGGTCTCATTGTGTTGTCCAAGGTGCCCATGAACTTGCAATCCTTCTGCTTCACACCAGTTCTTTTTTAGTTAGTGTCTACACCCTTATTCTCAATCTCCTCCTTGATATAGTCTTTCTATGTAGCCATGCTAGCCTGGAAGTCCCTATGCCCATGCAGCTGGCCCCAAACCTGTACAAGTCCTCTTATCTGTGCCTCCCAAGTACTAGGATTACAAATGTGTGCCACCATGCCCTACCTTTGTTGTCGCCATTCTTTCTTATTTTCTTAGAATAGTTTGAGTCACCACAGTAGAGCAGTGGGCTGTGCACTATTGCCTGGTTAGTTCTTGATTGTCATCTATGCCACCAATGTAACAATTTTTTTCTTTATTATTGTGTTGCTTTTGAATGAGTGGACTACTGAGCTACCACACTAAACCACAAAATAGTTTTTTTTTTTTTTTGGTTGAGTCAGAAATCTTTATCTGTGTGCTAAGAATTGTGGTTAAAGGATGGAATTTAGGGTTAAAGGATCGGCTTCTCTCTAAGAGAAGAACAAAGCCATGCTTCACAGTGGGAAATTAACAGATTTATTCGAGCCTTTGAAGCACACTTTTTTTTTTATCTTAAAGTGGATTCAATGCATGCAGCACAGAATGGGTTTGGCAAGTGTGTGCAAGTGATGCTTCATCTTTAGTATCCCTATTGTAGCATTGCAAAAACCCAAGCCAATTTCCCACTTAACACTCACCCCCTGTGGAGAACACTGTAGGTGATGGACAGGTTTTCTAAAAGGAGTTAAATGTGCTTATTCTTGTGCTTGCTTGAAAATTGTGAATGAATGAAACTGTTTTAATTGATAGATTTTCCAAGAGGTAAAGAGCAGTGATATTGCTAAAACCTTCCGCAAAGCCATCAACAGGAAAGAAGGCATTTGTGCTCTGGGAGGAACTTCAGAGTTGTCCAGTGAAGGAACACAGCATTCGTACTCAGGTAATAATGGCATGGGTGTGCTTAGGTTAATACAGCACACTGAGCAGGTACATAAAAGTTGTTCCTCTAATTAAATACACTAAATAATAGGCTTGGTGACATAATTGGTCTTGGGTCAGATATTTGCCAGAAAGTCCTGATAGACATTGATAGCTTAGAAGACACATGGCGAAATCTGTGTAATGATAGTCTTTATTACAGTGGAGTTAGGCAGTAATATAAATATTTTTTAATATTTTGTAACTCCCTAAGGATTGAATAACCTGTTCTTTTGTGCTTACTAATTTTGGCATTGATTCCTATGAGGCACTGTGTTGCTCCCAAGTGTCTGAAGAGCATGACCACATATTTGTGATGTAGGACTATACAACAATTGTAGCTTTGGGGGCCAATGATTAACAGAGTTAATGAACAATATGAGCTGATTTCTTGTTATTTAACATAATTTTAGAGGAAGAAAAATATGCTTTCGTTAACTGGATAAACAAAGCTTTGGAAAATGATCCCGATTGCAGACACGTTATACCCATGAACCCAAATACTGATGACCTCTTCAAAGCAGTTGGCGATGGAATTGTGCTCTGGTAAGATGTTAGTTTGTCTTGTATCCAGATTTCCAAAGATAACCTCCACCGAATGAATGCGTTTGGTTATGGATACCTGGCTGGTTGATGTCAGTAGAGAAAGAGAGAGGACAATTACCCAAATTTTGTCTTTTTCATTTAATATATGTCTAAAGCTGCCTGTAAAGGCAAAATCAGTCATGAAGTAGAGACCTCTTTATAAGTAAGGTAGAACCCTCAGCTTCCAATTTCTCATCACTTAGCAAGCAGAGCATTACAAATATGTCAACCTTAAAGTATGTCAGTATCTATTTATTCTGAAGTACCATGGCTTCCAAAGAGAAAAAAGAAGCTAGCCCTCATTCTTCACTGACCTAATTCTGAAAATGCTTTTGTCACTGTGGCTGCCCCAGAGCCAGCAGTATCTTGGCAGAAATGATGTAAGATTATCAACACTGTCCATTACTGCTCCTGGTCTCAGAGACAGCAGTGTAAAATATGTTCCATAGTGAGTTCTGAGTTTCAGTCTTCTGTTTTTCTTTTTCTCTTTTTCTTATTTTTCAAGACAGGGTTTCTTTGTGTATCCTTAGCTGTCTAGGAATGTACTCTGTAGATCAGGCTGGCCTCACAGAGATCTGCCTCCCGAATGCTGGGATTAGAAGTGTGCACCACCATGGCCTGGCCACATTCTGGATTTCTCTTTTTTTTGTTTTTTTTATTTAAATTAAAAACAAGCTTGTTTTACATGTCAGTCCCAGTTCCCTCTCCCTCCCCTCCTCCCCTGCCCCTACTAACTTCCTATCCCATTCCCTTTCTGTTCTCCAGGATGGTGAGGACTTCCATGGAGGAGCTTCAAAGTCTGTTATAGTATTTGGAGGAGGACCTAGGTCCTTCCCCATGTGTCTAGGCTGAGAGAGTGTCCCTCTATGTGGAATGGGCTCCCAAAGTCCATTCCTATACTAGGGATAAATACTCACCCACTGCCACAGGCCCTATAGATTGCCCAGACCTACTCACTGACACCCACGTTCAGGGGGTCTGGATTAGTCCTATGCTGGTTTCCCAGCTATGAGTCTGGGATCCATAAGCAACCCCTTGTTCAGGTCAGCTGTTTCTGTGGGTTTCACTAGCCTGGTCTTGACCCCTTTGCTCATCACTCCTCCCTCTCTGGATTTCTATGCAAGCCTCAGCAACTGTGTGGTTGGAGTCTAGATAATCGAAAACTTTACATTTCAGTTTCCACTGTGATCTTCATAGTATCATACAATTTGTGCATCCCTGATTAAAAACCCCAAAATTGAGACTTTTGTTTTATTTTTATTTGTTTTTATTAGCATATGCTAATTATATAGAGTGATGGGTTTCATTGACCTCTGCATGTGCATGTATATAGATGCAGTGACATTTTATCCTATTCCTAAATATCGCCCTTTCCTATGCTGTCCCCCTCCCTTCTTCCCATCTCAGCCACTTCTGTTTCCTAGTCTTATTTTTCAGTGACCCAATGAACTTCATCAGGCTTGCTTACAGAAGCAAGGGTTAGAGCCTTGGAAAGTTTTCAAATTCTGATAATGACGCCACAGTGGAATACTCCATAGCTGGCCTGAGGTGACAAGTGATAGTCAAAGAATAGGTGCTCCCAAAATACTGCATAAAATTACCTTCTGGGCCAGGGGTCTACGTCAGTGGCACAGTGTATGTCTAGCATGTTCCTGGAGCATGGTGACACATGCCTATAATCCCAGCACTCAGGAGGTAGGGGCAGACAGATGTCTGTGAGTTTGCGGCCAGCCTGAAGTATTACATAGTGAGTTCCAGGACAGCAAGGGAGACATATGTAGGGGAAGCTGTAGCCACGCCTACTTAGGGGCTGGCTACAGGTGTGCCTGACCACGCTTGTGAGGGCGTGGTCAGAGTGACGTAGGGTGACTGCGTTTGCGCTTTCGGTTTCACTTTGCTGCTTGCTGTACAGACCACTACCACGCCGGCTGGCTAGGTTGCTCTGTAAGTAAGGCTTTTCCCTATTAAATACCCTTATATTTCTACCTGACTCCGTATTGGTAATTTCCCACTATAGACACAGAGAGATCCTGTCTTAGAAAGAAAAAGAGAAAGACAGAAGAAAAAATAACAACAACAGAACAATATTAGCACTACAAAAAAAAAACAAAAGGCAAAACTCATATTTAAGTTGGGTGTGTCTGTGCATAAATACACATATATGTACATATGGGATGTGAATAAAATACGCATTCAGACTTGGGTACCCCAGGATGTCATTGCATATGGCTAATCTGCATTTTGAACACATATAGTTTCTTGTGGTCAATATGATGAAATTCATCTATTGAATTTTGTATTATTTTTTTATTTTATGTATGCCTCCATGGGTTTGTGTGTACCACAAGTGTGCAGGTACCTGTGGAGGCCAAAAGATGGTATAGGATCCCCTGAAACTAAAGTTACAGGCAGAGCTGTTCAGTGTGGGTCTGGGAACAAAACCTGGGACTTCTGCAAGAGTAGTAAGTGCTCTTAACCATCTCTTCAGCTCCAAATTTGTTGCATTTTTTTAAATGGCATGAAGGACATTTGATAATAAGCTTTAACATTAATGAAGATGTACAGACTGTTGTTTGAGACAGGATCTCCTGTGTCTCAAGCTAGCCTCCAGCTTGCTATGTAGTCCACAATGGCCTTGATGTCCTGATGCTTCTGCCTCCATGCTCCAGTACTGGGAATACAAGCTTCTCCATGTCCCACTTATGTGGTTCTGGGGTATTGAACCCGAGCCTCATGCATTGTAGCTAACCACTCTACAAAGTGAGCTACATCTCCAAACTATAGACTCTAAAAGTAGATCAACTTGTGTTTGTTTGTTTGTTTCAGCAAAATGATCAACCTTTCAGTTCCTGACACAATTGATGAGAGAGCAATCAACAAGAAGAAGCTTACACCCTTCATCATTCAGGTGTGCCATGCTCCCTGTGCCCTCTTCCATGACACTGTAGTTTGAAATAGAGGCCATAGCCTCTGCATTCTGTGTGTTATACTTTAATCCTCAGAGCAGCTCTGAGTGAGGAGTGATTGTGGATATTTTATACAACGAGCTGGGACTCAGAATGGCTTGGGGAGCTTGCTGGAAGTTCACAGAGGCACAGATCTTCGTTCAACTCAAGGCCCTCTGTTCTTTTTATTACGTATTGTGTTAAGATAGTGATGAAATAAACAAAATTACTTTAGCTCTTACTTAGCTGGTGTGCTTAAGGGATGGAGTGTTTGTGTTTTCCAGTGAGGAGTAGATTAGTACAGCAAAAATCCCCTCGGGCAGGAATGTCTTTTGAGATGTGCAGATTGGTCATTTCTAGAACCTGGATGTATGCCATGTGCTGAGGAACTTGCATTTAGGAAATTTTAGAAAAGTGACACTGTTCACATGGGTATATTTACTTTGGTTACGTGATGTTTTACTTTAAAATCAGCAGAATTCAAACCAACCAAATAAAAATGAAAAGTCCACTTCCTGTAGAATTCTACAAAAATAATAGGAATGAGGTTGAGATTTGTCACTTTGCTTTTTAATGCTGAATTCTGTTTTCTGTGACTGTGGGTGGATGAAATGAATACCTTGTATTGATTTCTTAGTATTATTTTCAGTGAAGGCAGAAGTGGACTGGGTGAGGAAGAAAGGTCAAGAAGTGTATCATTTGGCTGTGTTTCAGGAAAACTTGAACTTGGCACTGAACTCTGCTTCTGCCATTGGGTGTCATGTTGTGAACATTGGTGCCGAAGATTTGCGGGCTGGGAAACCCCATCTGGTTTTGGGACTGCTCTGGCAGATTATTAAGATTGGCTTGTTTGCTGATATTGAATTAAGCAGGAAAGAAGGTAATGGAACACAGTTATTTTGAGAAATGCTTATTGATGATTCTTTTCTTTCTCTTGCATTTTACTGAAGTGAGCAAATGATAACTAGAATGAACATGGAGCTATTCAGGAAAACAATCCATACACCTCTGTTCTTTAGCTATTGTGAACATTTGCATGACAGTTCATATTTGATTTTACTGTAAAGACACGAAAACACAGATTGACACTGGGTGTGTACCTCAGTTTCTGTCCACCTTAGTTTTTTTCCTGTGTGTGTGTGTGTGTGTGTGTGTGTGTGTGTGTGTGTGTGTGTGTGTGTGTGTGTCCATGCTCGCTTTATGTATGTGTTCATGGGATTTACAAGTGTGTATGCATATGTGAGTGGAGGCCAGAAATCAACGTAGTGTGTGTTCCTACTGCACTCTCCACCTTAGGTTTTGAGACAGGGTCTTTCACTGCACCTCCAGCTTATCAATTGGCTAGACTGGCTGGTCAGCAAGCCCCAGGAATCCTTCTGTCTCCACCTCCCCAAAACTGGGATTGCAGATGCCCACCACTGCACCCAGCTTTTACTCCAATGCCGCGGATCCGAGCTCTGGTCCTCATACTTGCACAGCAAGCAATTTACTGACAAGTTCCTCTCTCCAGTCCCAGGCTTACTTTTGAGACAAGGTCTATGACTTAATCTGGAGCCCACCAATTTGGCTAGAATGCTGGTCAGCAAGACCCAGAGGCTGCCCTGCTTCCATTTCTGCAGCCCTAAGAGTACAGACCTGTGGCTTTTTCATGTGGATGCTAGGGATTGAACTTGTGCTTTCACAGCAGGCTCTTTGCTGACTGAGCCATCTCCTCGGCACAGATGCTGAATATCTCGAAGTTAGAACTAGGCTGTAGTAGACCTTACAACTCTTTTACCATGGAACAAATTGTCAAAAGACTGAGCGGAACTAGATATGTTGCTACATGCCTGTAATGCCATTTGTTTGGGGCAGGGAGATCATGAGACTGAAGCTGGCATGGGTTTGTCTCAAAGTAAAATACCTACCTTACTTTTTAAGAGAGAGAGAGAGAGAGAGAGAGAGAGAGAGAGAGAGAGAG